TCCCCCCATTTCCAGCCCCCACCCCCCCCCCCCCCATCCCCTCCACAGGTCTGCGTGTTCACCGCGCCCCTGTTCTCCGCCTTCTGCGCCCTGTCCACCTACCTGTTCATGAAGGAGGTGCGGGGGCAGGGGGCAGGGCTGGCCTCCGCCGCCATCATCGCCGTCGTCCCCTCATACATTTCGCGGTCGGTGGCTGGGTCGTACGATCTGGAGGCTGTGGCCATCTTCGCCCTCGTCTTTGTCTTCTACCTCTACGTCAAGGTGGGTGCAGCGCCTGGGGCGCTGTTGGGGTTGAGGGCGGGGGGAAATTCAGGCGGGGACAGAGCGCGCAGTAAGCTGCTGATCCCATCTTGCTGGTTCAGCGGTTGTCGCTGTCCTATGTGCCGAGCCCCTTGCGCACCTCACCGCGTTCCACGCCCCGCCTCCCCCTTCCCCCGCCTCCTCTGCCACAGACGCTGAACACGGGCAGCCTGAAGTGGGCCACCGCGCTGTTCTTTGGCTACCTCTACATGGTGGCCTCCTGGGGTGGCTACTCCTTCATCGCCAACCTTCTCCCCATCCACTGCCTCGCCTGCATTGTCTTCCAGCGCGTGTCAGCCCGCCTCTACATCGCATACGCGCCCTGGGTCATCCTGGGAGCACTGGCGGCAGGTGCGCGCCAGGATTTGAAGGGCAGCGAGGGTGGCGTCTGGGCAGGGGATGGTGTTTGATGTCGTTCGGTGCGGTGAGGCTGCCCACTCTTGATTCTGCGCCTTTTTCCATGCTTCTCTGGCGCTGCCCTCTCAACAACCTCTGCCTGCAGCCAACATCCCTGTGATTGGGTTCAACGCGGTGCTGATGAGCGAGCACATGGCATCCTTCTTCGTTTTTGGGCTGCTGCACGCCGCGCTGGCCATCCAGTACATCCAGCAGATGCTGCCTCCCCGCGCCTACTCGGGTGGGTGTTGCTTTGGTTGGTGTGTGTGCGGATGCGGCAGACACACGATCTGGTCCATGTTTCTTGGCCCACACACATACAGTAGACCACTCTCCCAACCCTGCCTTGTTCCTTGGCCCCTTTCCGCTCACAGCCGCCAAGAAGCTGGTGCTCACGTTTGGCACCACCGCGTTGGCAGTGGTCATGGCGCTGGTGGTCTCCTACGTGGCTGCCTCCCCGACATTTGGATGGACAGGTGCGGAGCCGCAGCACTGCAGCACTCTGCTCTGCCCTGTATGCTATGCAGCTGTAGCCCCCCTGTTGCACTTGCGTTCTGATCACATTGCCTGCCAACAACCTGCCTCTCCCCTGCCCATGCCACTCTCTCCCTCAGGCCGGTCCCTGTCTCTGCTGGATCCCACCTACGCGTCCAAGTACATCCCCATCATCGCATCCGTGTCGGGTGCGGCCCTGGCGTGCGCTCCTTATGCATATCCAACAACAAAGTTGGGCCTGCTGTTTGGGGGCTTCCATTTCCCGCGCACCCTGCCAACCTTTGCTCATGGCGTGCTGTCTGCCGCTTGCCTGCCCTCCCCGCAGAGCACCAGCCCCCCTCCTGGTCCTCCTACTTCACAGACCTGCACATTTCCTCGCTGCTGGCGCCCGCGGGCCTGCTGCTCTGCTTCCGCCCCCTCACTGATGCCTCCCTCTTCCTTCTGCTCTACGGCGTGACCGCCGTCTACTTCTCGGGTGTCATGGTGAGTAGGGCGCCTGCGCTGTGCAGTGCTGTGCAGTGCTGTGCAGTGCTGTGGGTGTGGCTGAGGTTGGTAGCGAGAGTGTGCATGTGTAGCAAGATTGCATTGCCTCATGTGCATGCCTCCTTTAGGAACTTCTTCTCGGCATTGTTCCCCGACTGCCCTGTTTCCTGCTTGCAGGTTCGTCTCATGCTGGTGCTAGCCCCGGCAGCGTGCTGCCTGGCTGGCCTGGCACTGTCCGAGGTCACATCCTACCTGGCCACCTCACTGGCGGCGGCGCAGCTGGATGGTGACAGCGCACAAAAGCAGGGCAAGAAGGCGGAGGATGGGGCAGGTGGGCAGGTGGCGGATTTTGGTTTGCGGTGGCAGCCAGTTGGTGTGCTGAGAGGGTCACTTTCATTGCCTCTCCTGCTGGGGCCCTGCCTGCAGAGGACTCCACTGCTGCCCCCAGTGGCTCCAAGAAGGCGTCAGCTAGCTCCACAGCGGACAAGGGCGGCAAGAAGGGCGCCAAGCACGCCAAGAAGAGCGCGAGCGCCGACAGCGGCTGGATATCCGATACGTGGCGCCCGCTGCCCAAGGATGTGGCGATTGTGGGCCTGATCCTGGTGTTTGCGGGAACGAGGTGGGTAGTCGGGGAGGGGCGGCGACGCAAGAGCGAATGGCAGGCGACAGGCGTCATTAATGCGTTCGCCTTCGCCTTACCTCCTGCCTGGCCATTGCCCCTGCCCCCTGCTGCAGCTTGTTCTACAAGCACTCTGTGTACGTGGCGGGGGAGATGTACAGCGCCCCATCCATCGTGCTGCAGGTGGGAGCAGGAGCCCGGGACAGCCTGCTGCATTCACCAGCATATTGTGCAGTTGTTGGTGTCAGCCGCAGGGCCGGTGCCGTACCACAATCATGCACCAAATGCGGGCTTGTTTCCCTCTCAACTGCCGCTCTGAGCCCTTCCTGATGTCCTGCAGAGCCGGCGTGCTGATGGTGGCATCAAGGTATTTGACGACTTTCGTGAGGCATACGCCTGGCTCTCGTACAACACAGGTGAGGTGTGGGGTGGCTGGTTGGCTGGCTCGAGAAAGAACGGGTTGGTGGCGCCGGCCTTCCTCCTGCCCCCTACCTGTGCCACCCACCAGCACACCCGCTTGCCCTACAGATCCCGATGCCAAGGTGGCCAGCTGGTGGGACTATGGCTACCAGACCACCGCCATGGCCAACCGCACCGTCATCGTGGACAACAACACCTGGAACAACACCCACATTGCCACCGTGAGTTTAGACATGGCAGTGGCCTGGGCCTGGCAACCACAGGCATGGCGGTTGACATTTTCATTCTCAAAAGTCAGTCCACCACCTGGTGCTCAACTGTGTACCTGCAATATGCCATCCGCGTTTCCCGCGACCGCAGGTTGGGCGCGCGATGTCCAGCCCGGAGCGCAAGGCGTGGCAGATCTTCCGCAGCCTGGATGTGGAGTATGTGTTTGTGGTGTTTGGCGGCTTCATCGGGTGGGTGCAGCGCTGGCTTGGACTGGCTTCGAGGATGGGGCAGCGGAGGGAGTGGGTCGCGAGGGCTGGGCCTGCAAACCCAGGAGCCCATTGGGGAGGCTGCGTGGTGGGGCTTGCACCACGCAGCCCTCGAGCCTCTGTTGCCGCTGCCCGCCACCCCCTGCTGCCCTCCTTGCAGCTACCCCAGCGACGACATCAACAAGTTCTTGTGGATGGTGCGCATCGGCGGCGGCGTGTTCCCCGAGATCAAGGAGCCAAACTATCTTGGCAGCGACGGTGGGTGGCTCCTTGGCAGCTTGTGCGCTCTCATCCCTTTGCCCTGCCACCGCGCCTTGCCCACCAACTTGGGCCCTCTGTCCCGCAGGCAACTACCGTGTGGATGACCAGGCGGGCAAGGCGCTGCTGGACTCCACCATGTGGAAGTGAGCCCAGCGGGGGCTCAGCAGCTGGGGCAGGCTGCGTGCATGTTGTATCTTGCAGGCGTGCCTGCTGGCCACAGCACATCGCTGGGCGCTCTCTCAGCACCACCCACTCCCGCACCATTGTTTGTGCAGGCTGTCCTACTACCGCTTTGCCGACTGCGGTCCCATGTTTGGTGCACCACGCGGCTACGACCGTGTCCGCAACACCGTCATCGGCAAGACAGACTTCGAGTGAGTTGCCACCGGCCGCCCAGCCACTACTTTACTTGTCGGTGTGCCTCCAGCAGCTGCCGACCATGTCTGGCCCATCTGGCCTGCCTGGCGGCATGGTTGACCACTGGGCCCCCCGCCCTCCCCCCTGCCTCGCAGGCTCAAGTACTTTGAGGAGGTGTTCACCAGCGAGCACTGGATGATGCGCATCTACCGCGTGCTGGACAAGCCCAACCGCGACACCAAGCTGCGCAACCCACGCCGCACCAAGGTCACCAAGAAGGCCCGCAGCAAGCGGAGAGGCGCGTCGGGGGCGCTGTCCTGAGGGGGCTCCGCTCGATGGGTGCGGGCACTGCTGCGACATGCTGGGCAGCAGGCAGGAAGTTGTGCCCCTGATGCGCAAGCACAGATGTGCCTTAGCGTCTGATGCCGTTAATGGGAGCACTGCGGCGCACTAGTGCCCCAGATTTTGCGCGATCGTCTTGTTTCCTTTGGTGCTTTGTTTTCACCGCCAGTCCAAATGATATTGGCTTCTCCTCTGTGCTGCACATCTCTAGCTGTTCAGCTGACATCACCAGCTTTATGGTCAGTGATGGATGCAAACACTAGACAAGCAGGGATTACAGTTTGAGCAGGAAGCGCCAACAAGAAGGAAACATAGTACACAGTGATATAGCAGCGGGACCACACGCTAGAAAAATCCGCCGCCTGCGGTGGCCGCTCGTTCAGCTGCCATTGCTTGCACCCTGTCAGCCAGGATCGACCGCGCCTGCCGCAGCTCTGCCTGCAGCTGGGGAAGGGGCAGTGGCTGTCCCGCTGCATCCACCTGCGGTTCCATCAGGCAGTCCTGCCGCCGCCGCACCTCGGCCCGCAGCTCCTCCAGTCCCATGCCCAATAGCCGCGCCTGCTCAACTTCCCATTCCTGGCGTCGTGCTGTGCCGGACTGTACTGCTGCTTGCGACTCGCCTTCCTGCCCGCCGCCCGCCTGCTGCCCGTCTGAACGGCGTTCTGTTCCTGCCTCTTCAGCAACTGCTGCATGACCTCCGGCTTCTGCGCCAGCCGGCCGCGCCGGCTCATACGCGTCCCATTCATCCCACCAGGGGAAGCCGCCGCCATCCTCCAGCCAATCATCGTCAATGGCATCATCCCAATTGACGCTGGTGCTGCCATTCATCCATGCCTCTGCTCCTGTGTGGTCTGTTCGAGCTCGTTTGCTGCCAGGGGAGGAGCCATGGCCTGAGCTGCCATCCGGGCCATGCTTACCCTCACCTTCCTGTAGGCTCTGCAGCAGACGGTCTGCTGCTGCATGCAGGTGCTTAAAGGCATCGGCTGCCCCCACCAGGCGGCACTTGTCGGGGTGCACCACCGCCGCCAGCCGCTTGTACTGCCGCCGCACATCGGCCGAGCTAGCAGATGCTGCCTCCAGGCCAAACACCTGTGTACAGGAATAAACAAGGGCAACATGAGGGTGCCGGTTGGTCCAGCTTGGCAATGCAAGCAACTAAAAAGTGTCCAGTAAGCGGTGGCTAGATACGCCACGCTGAGGTGTTGCAAAGCACACAACGCGCCTCCCCACCTTCCACCAGGCCTTGGAAGCGCCGGTGCTGCAGCTGCCACTAGCCAGCTGCACTTGGCAGAGCGCCTGCATCTGGCGCACCGGAAGCAGCTGGTGCAGTGGCTGCGGCAGCACTGCCAGCAGCGCCAGACACGCCACCGGGCTGCCGCCTGCCAGACGATGTTCAGCGGCCGCTATGACCTCATCAGCATGTGTCTGCCCAGGCTGCTGTGCCTGGCTTGCTGGAGCCATGCTGGTCCACATGCACAAGTTGTGCCTGCGAGTGAACTGCAGTGCTGGCACTGTCCAGCGCTCGCTGGGCCACTTCATGCGCTGCGGGCAGGTGGGCTGCGTGTGCTGCGATGCCCGCCTGGGCCGCTCCCAGCTGCTCCACCAGCCTCTGCAGGCCCTCTACTGCGCGGGAGGTGCCTGCGAAGTGCTTCTCCTGAGCCACCAAGCCGTGGGCGGCGGTGTGAACTGCCTGCAGAGTGGTGGGGAGTGGGCGGTGGCAGGTTGCGGCGGCAAGACGGCGGCGGCAAGTGTGTGATCTGGCCTGGCGGTCACTCACGTGAGCTCCGGAGCCTGCCACTGCCGCCTGGGAGAGCCCCACAGCCGCAGACACCCCGCCAGCAGCCTGGTCCAGCAGGTGCTTGGGCAGAGCCTGCTTTCTTTGCATCCGTCACTGCATCTGTAGAGCAGAAGAAGAGCATGTCTGTGCTTGTCGACCTCAAAAAGCTTGCAGGCCTCATGTACGATTTAATTGTACTCCACCATGCGCCGGAGCTCTCAACGAACACACGATCGATCGTGGGGGCATTCAGCCAGCATGGTGGCTCTCAGCAGCATCCAGCTGGACAGCAGCCTGTTCCACGAACACAAGACTGCTGCGGCGGTCATCGGCGGCGCAGCTGGGCTGGCAACCCTGGGCTACCTGTATGCCCGGAGCAGCGGCTACAAGAGGAGCCCCAGCAGCTTTGACATCAGCGGGGGCGCCGTCGATGCGGGCAAAGTCAAGGACACGGTGAGGCCCGTGGCGAGCTATGCCAGGGCCCGGGGAGCTTGAATTGAATGATGGGGAGGTAAAGGGCACCCTCGGTCCTCCTACCCTTCCTGCCGCGGGCTTGCCGCCATGCCCGGCGGGTGGGCGGCGGGTGGGCGCCGCGGTGCTTTCGCCACGCCTGCAGAAATGCTACACCTTCCAACCATGAACTCACACCACCCCTTGCTGACTTGGCATGCACAGGTGAAGGAGTACTATGGCGAGTACAACACGCTGGAGCGTGGCAAGGGTGCGGTGATGAAGGAATCGCAAAAGGCAAGCCATGGGGACACACATGTGCCGCCGACGCTAGCGCAACGGCTCATTTGGACAGCTACATGCAGGCTGCATTGTGCTGCACACTAGCTGTTGCGTGGCATGACCTCCTCCCCGCTTTGCCTGCTGCTTGCCATGCCACCCTCCGTCTGTGCCCCGTCCCTTTTTTGCCTCAGGTGGCTGACCTGGTGGACAAGTTCTACTCCCTGGTCACCGACCTGTACGAGTGGGGGTGGGGCCAAAGCTTCCACTTCTCCCGCAAGCTGCCCAACCGCAGCTGGTCGGCCAGCGAGGTGGCGCATGAGGCCTGGGCCGCAGCCACCATCCGGCTGGGCCCTGGCAAGACGGCGCTGGATGTGGGCTGCGGCGTGGGTGGGCCCATGCGCACCGTGGCGGCGGTCAGGTGGGCGCTGGGATAGCCTGGGATTGTACATGGCGCCGCGCTGCAGGCCAGGGGTGCTGCCGGGGTCCTCGCGGATGGGTCGTTGTCTCTGCACCCTGCCTTGAGCGCGCTGATTGACACCCCCCCCCCTCCCCCCGCGCGGGCCCCTCTCCCCCGGCGCAGTGGCGGCAACGTGGTTGGAATCACCATCAACGAGTACCAGGTGAAGCGCGCCACCTACCACAACGAGAAGCAGGGGCTGGCGGCGCAGTGCCGCGCTGTTCGTGGCAACTTCCTGGAGATGCCCTTTGAGGCGGAGCGCTTTGATGGGGCGTATGCAATGGAGGCCACCTGCCACGCACCCACGCTGGAGCAGGTTGGTGTGTTGGGGTGGGTGGTGGGGCCAGCGATGGTGTGGTGACACCAGGTTTGTCGGCACAGGCATGTCCCATTGGCACAGCATCTCACCGTGGTGGCAGCTGCCTGCTGCCTGCCTGCCTCTACGTGCAGGTCTACTCCGAGGTGTACCGCGTGCTCAAGCCGGGCGCCATCTTCATGACGTACGAGTGGGTCACCACCCCGCTGTATGACCCCACCAACAAGCAGCACGTGGCGTGCGTGGATGAGATCATCATTGGCAACGGCCTGCCGGTGAGGCCAGGCTGTTCCTGGCGGAAGGGCAGCGGTGGGTGGAGTAGTGCAGAAAAGGAGAGCTTGCTGTTTGTGCTGCATGTTCGTGCTGTTGCTTGGCACGACCTCACTGCATGCTGCCTCTTGCTCACACAATGCTTGCAGGACATGCGGACCTGGAAGCAGGCGGAGCAGGCCGGCACCGCTGTGGGCTTCAAGCTGCTAGATAGCAGGGACGTGGCGCAGGCATCCAAGACCGCAGTGCAGCCATGGTGAGTAGCGGAAGAATTTGCGCATGACATAATTGGGGATGGCATATGCCGGTCAATCACCGCTGCCACGTGCGGGTTCGAGCATGCAATGCTGTTCCGCGGCTGCCTGCCTCACAGGTACATGCGGCTGGGCGGCAACGTGCCAATCTTGAAGTGGATTGGCAGGTTCAATGGCTCGATTGTCAATGTGATGGAGTTCCTGCGCATCGCGCCGCGTGGCATGGGCGACGTACACAAGATGCTGTTTGACACGGGAGGTGCGTCTCGACGCGATGCAGTGTTGTGACCTGGTGATGGGGTGGTTGGACTGCCGGCTACTTCTTTGCATGCTAGCCGTTGACACCTGTGATGGTGCATCTTCCCCCGCAGTTTCCATCATGGAGGGCGGGATTGAGGGCATCTTCACCCCCATGCACATGTTGGTGTTCCAAAAGCCGGAGAACGCCAAGTCCCCTGCCAAGTCGCCCAGCAAGAAGAAGGACAGCAGTAAACAATGAGTAGTCGGACTTTTATGCTGACTGGCTCTCGGCATGGTCGGCCGGCGCGATCCTGCATCTGTTCCCATTCAACATTTTTTCACTTATGTGATTTGGATCATTGTTTGCTTTGTCCTCTTTCCAAGAAAGTTGCAATTTTTGCCAGCGCGAGGTTTAGGAAATAGGAGCCCTGTTCCATTGCAGGACAAATGCGGTTCATCTTCAAATTTGTGCGTCTACCAAATTTGTACCCAATCCTAACACAAGGAAACTCTGAGGAAAAGGGTAAAAGCTCGATGCATTGTATGATCAAACCAACAAGGTGCGATTTCTGCACCAAACTGGTGTGAAAGGTACACCAATCGCTTACCGGTCAGCTGTCCACCCACGCTGTCCTCATCCCCGCCAGGCGCCACCCGCCAGCTTGCGCTGCAGGAGCACCACCTTGCACGCCTTCTTGAGTTTGGGGTTGAGGCAGTGCTTGCACTCGCCACACTTCTCCAGCGCAACAAAACGGCCGCGCTTGATGCGTGGTGGGGACGGGAAAGCATCGATGCTGCCGGCCGTCTCGTCGGCAGCTGACGACCTTGCATGGCGCTTGCGGGTGCGGCCAGCGTCAGCCTCGGGGCTGCACCAAAGGGAAAGGAGGACGGGCAATTCAGGAGGGGGGCAGGGACTGGCACAACCAGCCCCGGCCACAGCCACAGGACGTGCAACTGGCGCGGCTGCGCGGGCGCAGGTCACCTGATGCCAAACAGCTCTGCATACTCGCCAATGAGCCCGCCCGCTGAAGCAGGCGCAGCGGCCCCCGACTCTGCTGCCTCCTTGCCCTTATTGCCGCCAGCTGTGGCCGCCTTGCCCTTGCCCTTGTCCTTGCCGCCGCCTGAAGCGAGACTGGCGTGCTGCGCCGCCTGGCCCGCTGCTGCACGCGCCTCGTGCTGGGCAGCTGCCACCACCTCCTGTTCCTCAGCTGTCAGCTCAGGTACTGCTCCCGTGGCCTGCAGCCCCTTGACTGCGCTGCCAAACAGCACCTCAAAGGCCTGCGCAGCGGCACCAGCAATGGGCAAATGTCAGAAGCTTCCCATCCCTAGTGCCCTGCCCATTGCCAGGCCAGCCAGCTGCAGCTAGCTCACGCCGCACCAGGCTCAGCCCACCTCCCGGTTCTTGCGGCGCAGCTCCTCTGTTGACATGACATACGGTGGCTGCTCGTCCGCCTGCAGAGGCGGTGGCAGAGCCTCCACAATCGGGCCCTGCAGGCAGCCAGGCAAGTAGGCAAGTGACGACGCATGCCTGTGGCAGCTTCTCAAAACCGCCGGCATGCTGCCCATACAGCCAGCCTGCCGGGCAGTGCGGGTAGGATACACACCGCGATGCGACGCCCGTGGTCCCTGCTCCGCAGCTTCTCCTGGGCCAGCTTGAGGCGGTGTTGTGCCAGCGCCGCATCGCGCGGCCACTGCTCCACCGGGCTGGCCAGCCGGATGCGCTCATCATGTTGCCACAGGCGGTGCATGCCCACCTCCCCATCATCGTAGCAAACTGTGTGTCTGTGCAGGGAGGGCAGGCAGCCAAGAGTCGGGTGTTGCAGGCCATCTCCACACGCCCTTTTCCCCCACTCATGCCAGTCCTGCCCCTCTGCACGGCGCCTGCCGGGGCGCCCTCGCCTCATTCCCACCCGCTATCCCGCCTGTGCACTGCCCTTGGGCTCACTCTGTGGACACGGCATCGTACAGCGCCAAGATGCCCGAATAGAAGCACTGGTCGCCCTGCCACCACACCTCCACACGCGCTCCCACGGCTCCCTCGCCGTTGACACCAATCTGCAGGGTGGAGGTGTAAAGCAGAAAGAATGGTTGGAAAAGTGGGACATGGTAGGCGTGCGTAAGGAAGACCCAGCGCTCCCACCTGTGCCCCCGCATGTCCCGACAGTGCGGCGGCCTTCATACGCTGCGTAAGGCAGTCGAAGCGGCGCTGACCTGCAGGCTCACATGTGGGGCATAAAGGCGTATGAGAGTGGAGAGCCATCAAATGGACAACCAGGGGTGGCCAAAGTCACTTGAACCAAAAACGCTCATTTCCCGACCCCCATACATCACATACCCGCGTAGTTGTTCATGCATGTCTTGCACTGTCCACAGCGCTGCTTAAGGTTGATAGCACCCGCTGCCGCCGAGGCGCGGGTGCGCCGCATTCGGTCTGCCTCCAGGCAGTTGCGGTGGTGCTTGATGTGCAGGCTGGCCTTGGCATCCTGCGTTCGAGCAGAATGGTGGGCAGAGTGTAGACGCGACAGGAAGGCACGACAGGCTCCCCGGCTTTGAAAATGCATCAAACAGCAGCAGGTAGCATCACCTTGAGGGCACACCCCATCTCATTCCCATGTTTCCAGCGCCCGCCGTTGCTCTTGACCAGCGCAAATGCCTCGCGCTCGCGCTCTGCGGGCGGGGCAGGCGCAGCGCAGAAACACATGCTGACAAGCATGGCAAAGTATGTTGGGGCGAGCACAGCAGTGCGCAGGCCCCCCCCAAACCTGCATTGCCTTCAAAGGACTCCAGCTCCGAGGCTCGATACCACTGCCACTTGCCGCTGCTGATTGGTAGGTAGCAGACCAGCACACGCAGGCTCTCAGCGCGCTGCAGGTGGTGTAGGATAGCACACAAGGCCCATATTCTGACATCTGCCCTCTGCACGGTTGGACAGTACTGTCTCATAACTATGAAAACAGCAGCATGGTTTACAGCTTCGCACCTGCTCAGGCGTCAGCTTGGCCGCCAGCTTTTGGTACTGCGGCAGGCTCACCAGCTTCTCAGTGGCGGACAGAGCCCTGACTGCCCCAGCCGGAAGGTCGCGACCTGCGCGCACAAATGGGTCAGCACTTGCCAGGGCGCATCAGCACTTGCCAACACCACTCGTCACAGCGCATCAGCGCTTGCCAACACCACTCGTCACAAGAAAGAGCATCAGTGGAAAAAGCAAAATCTAACACACCCACAGGTTCAGTGCATGCAGGCCCTGCATTGTCCACCGCACAACATCCCTCCCCACCCACCCGCCGGCATGTCTAGCGGGTCCAGCTTCTCGCCCGGCCACCAGCAGCCCACGGTCTTGTCCCGCACCCACACCAGGTCGCCTGCACAAGGAACGTGGCGTGGAGGTGCGCAGCTCAGTGAACAAGACAGCCGGGGCGGGCAGGTGCAGCCGGGAGGAGGGATGCAGCAGGCTGGCAGCAAGGTGTGAGCCCATGTACTCGTACTCCCACCCACCAATCATGTCTGCGTCGGTCAGCAGGCCCGGGATGCGCACGATTTCGTGGGCCTCCGCCGAAATTCGGGCGCCGTTCTGCAGCAGCTTCTCAATGGTCTGCCCCACGTCCCACCCCTTCTCCTGCAGAGTGCTAAGGTCAAGGGACAAGCCGGCAAGATCTGCGCACATGTGGTTTGCAGGGGCACAGGATGTATGGCAGGCTGCAGCTGAGCATAAGGCGGGCAGCGCGCGCACCCTCATGCGGTGAAGGTAGGTGTGAATCTCCTCCTGGGTTGCCTCCCTGCAGAAGGGACACAAGCGCATGGCACCAGAATCACTTTTGTCTGTTGGCTGTTGTTTCAAATAGAAATCGATCAAATTGTGTACCCTCCCGGGTCCTGACCCACCTGCCCACATCCGCAATGAAGTCCCCCAGCGGAACAAACGGCATGGGCACTGGGCACTCGCTCATTTCCTCGCAGCCAAAGCTGTACGGGCAGCAGCAAGCAGGGCCGAGGACCCTAGCACTTGGGCATGCTCATAAACAGAAACACCTCTGTGCGCTGGTGAAAGGGCGTTGCCAACCGGGCAGTGAGACAAAAGCAGGCCAGGATGCCAGGAGCACTAGGCGCTGTTGACCAGCCCCTCGGCGCCGCTTACCAGCCCAAACCCCGCACATACCAGGCCGCACGAGGCCAGGCCTCACGATCCCACTGCGATTGCTGCCGTGCCACCTGTTGCACTAGGCCACGCTGCTTCTGCAGCACAGCGGCAGGGTGCAGGAGCCAAGAGTGAGAAAAGAAGAGTCAGGGGCAGTTGAGTGCAGCCTCAAAGCACAACCGAGTTGCCAGCAGTCCCTTTACACCCTTTGCCAGCAGCACCAGCGCAGGCCAGTGAGGCAGGCGGGCAGGCAAGGGCGCACCCTGCGCACGATGGCAGCCTGGAACAGGTCTTGTTGGTCCGCCTCAGCCTCGGCACGAGCCAGCCGTGCCTCAGCCTTTGCAGATCCTTCACCCCTTTCGCCAGGTTGGCTGGCCTTGGGCACAGCCACCACCATGGGGGTCGCTTGGGTCCCCCTATCATCCACAGCATCTGCATCTGCGGCGACAGCGGCGGCAGGGATGCCGCTGGCACCATCGCCCTCGCTGCCCTCGCCCTCGCACCCAGCAGCAGCAGCGGTGCTGTGCGGCTCGGGTGGCATAGAGCCCTCGCAAGGCGTCAGGGGTCCTGAGGGCTGGGTGGGGGAGGCTGTGGAAGCGCCAGCTGCAGCCGCCGCCTGCTGTGCACGCTCCGCCGCTGCCTGCTTCCTGGCGGCGCGTGCCACCGCAAGCATCTCCGCCGCCTCTGCATCCGCCCCCACAAAGCCCTCCACATCGCTTCCCTCGTCCTCGCTGCTGCCGCTGGTGCTGGCATCGCCATCGTCTGCGCCGCTGTCAGCTCCCGCCGCCACCTCGTCGCCGGCGACTCCAGCCAGTATTGCCTCGGCTGCTGCCGCGGCGCGCTCACGGCGCTTGCGCCGCCGCGACACCTCCTTCTTGCGCTGTGCGATGCTGAGGTAACGAAAGATGACTGCGTCCTGCAGCTGGTTCGTGGCCACGTGGCTCCACACATGATGCGGGCGGGGCCTGCGAACAGTTGCAGCAATCGGACTTGGTGGCATTGGTGTCAACCAGCGTCAGCTAGCAAGAGGGGCCAGGCCAATATGTGCTTGTGGAGTTGCCTTCATCATTCCCGCTCACCACATGGAGGCATCCGCCTCTGGGGCTGCACCCTCAGTCAACAGCGCCTCCAGGGGGCGGTCGGCAGTGGACACACCATGATACTTGTACTACATACATGATGGTATGTAGTATGCACCATTCAATTGGGGGGACGGAGGGTTGTGGCATTGCAGCAGGGCAGCACGGCGAGACAAGATGAGGAGGCCAAGACCGAGGGCCGACACATCGGCCTGGCACATCTACGGCACCCAACTCACCTGGTAAGGGTTGGCCAGCCGCTCCCCCAGCCACCTGGCCACTGGTACTGTCACGGCATTGCCTGCAGGCAAGCAAAAGCACCCCCAGAGACACACCCAACACTGGCGAATTGGCAAGCAGCAAGGATTGTGCTGGCCTCGCAAGCACGAAGTTGTGGCAGGGAGGGCTGCGGCACCCACCCAGGAGGTCCCATCGCTTGCTGGCTGCAGCCTCGGCATTTTCCTCACGACGAGCGCTACGGTGGGCGGCCAGGCCCGGGGTCTGGATGGGCCAGCAGGGGCGGGTGTGGCCCTCCTCCAGGCCCTGCAGGCGTCCAATTAGTCGGACCATCAGCACAATCAACTGCAAGATTCTGCAACCCTCCCAAAATCGTGAACACGCTGGCAGGCTTTGTTGATGCGTGCCTATGCCTTATGTTTCACATTCTGCCGATCTGCTCAGGTTGGTATCACCGCTGCCAGCTCCCAGCCTGTGTTGAACATACCTGCAGCCGCTCGGCATCCTCGACACGCAGCATGCCCGAAGCGCCATCCGCCAGGAGCAGCAACATGCGGTCATTGCAGGTGGTGAACGTGGGAACCACATCCTCCCCGGCGGGGCTCCTGCACGACAGCGCACGGCACATGCGGCAGGTGGACCAAGCTGTTGCTGGCATCCAATCCAAAAAAGGCAGTAGCAAAAATCACAGGTGCAAGATCAAGCCCCAGAAGGCCACTCACATGGCATTGCCCATGTCCAGAGCATAGGACACGCGGTTGTGGTGCCGCATGTTGCGCAGCTCGTTAGCATGGCAAGGATAGCACCTTCGCCCGCCAAACAAGTGCTCGCAGCCGCCCGTGCACTTCTGGGCTCCCTGCAACCAGGCCAGGAAAAGCATGCTTCAGCACTAGCAGCTGAGAATTGGTCCGGCTGATCGGCAGGTGGCCCGGATCTCGCTGGCTTGCTGCACCAGTTGCCAACCTGCGAGAGCAGCACGTCTCGCGCATCACCATGCAGTGCCGCCACCATGAACACCCGGCGGCGGCGATTGGGCACGCCAAATCCTGCAGGCAGGACGGCAGTGTGTGTCCACAGGGCAGCAGCAACTGCCAGCTGCTGGCGAGCGACACAAGACTGTGCCTATGCTGCCAGCGCCATTGCGGAGGCTGAGCCTGCCCTACCCACCTGCCGAGTTGACAACGCGGTATGCCCAGCTCTGGTAGCCCAGCTCAATGAACTTCTGGGCACAGTGCTGCAAAGCAGCGGCAGTGGCAAGGAGTAAATGGAATTATGATATCACATGGTGTCATATCACACGATGTTGGGAAGAACAGTTGGGGCGCTTTGCTGTTGCGTGCCTCTGTCCCCATTCCACCCACCTGCATAACGGGGGGCTCCCCTGCATGTCTGTCCAGCAGCGCTTCCACCTGCAGAGCAAGGCAGCCACAAAAGCAAGTGCGGTGCTCAGCAAGGAGAGGTCTGTCAACAGCTCCATAGACCAGCCTCAGCAGCAACGGCACAAACGCGCGGTGCCCTCACATTCTCGAGCAGGACCCACGGTACCGGCCGGTTGTCATCCTTGGCGCGCTGCAAATAGCACGGAGCGCAAATAGCAGGGAGTCAGCTCAATCACGGTCGCTCATCTAGTTCTCACATTGCCTTGCGTTACAACCAAGCAGATGCCCAGTATGTCTGCCTTGCCATGTCCTTCGTGCGCCTCAAGTGCTGCCAGCTTGCCTGCAGCAGCCTGAACACGTGGCGCACGAGACCGGTGGATTGCCCCTCCAGGCCTCGCCGCAGCCCCGCACGGCTGACGTCAATGCAGGGGAAGCCAGCCACCAGCAGCTCGGTCTCCTGCAAGCATGGACACGTGGGTATGGCCTTACGAAGCAGGCAAATTTGATTTGATGATTATTGGCTATGGAAAACCCGATGCATAGTGCCCACCCACCTCTGGCAGCCTCTCCAGGCTGATCACGTCATCGTGGATCCGCACGCCAGGGAAACTGCTGCGCAGGACCTGCAATAATGGCAGACGCTGGCGGGCATGTCTCCAAACTCTCAACAGTCCCAGAATTACACCAGCCAGGGCATGTGACGGCCTTTGAGCAGCCATGTCTGGCTGCAGGTATGCAGTCGCGTGCCTGCCGGGCTCCAGCATCGCTGTCGCACAGCAGCAACAGCTCGTGCCCGGCCTGCAGGTGCATGGGGCGGAGACGGCGCCCTTGGCAGAGCATCTGCAACCTGCACTGCCGCAGCGCCCACCAGGACCACACAAGTGCCCACAACACGCCCAGATAGGTGCCGTCGGCAGCAGGCCCCTGGCCTACTTGGTGGAGCCCCTGGTCCAAGCCGCCCGCTCCCGAGAACAAGCTGGCCACTTTCATTTTCCGAGAAATGGAATCGCCTTGATATCCGGGGCGCCTGGGGTGGGTGCCGGGCCAAGGGTGATGGGCGCTAGGGTTGTTGTGGTGGTGGTCTAGCTGCAGTGGGCAAAATGCAGACAGGGGCCTTGAGGAGCGGGTGGGATGGAGGGATTAGGCAGCACAGCTCAGCAGTGCAGCACACGAGGCGAAAGCTGGTGAAACGCATAGAGCGCGACAGGAGCCTCTGCAGACCGCAGCGGCGATCCAATCCACCTTGCGTGGCCCCACCGCAACCAATATCGATCGCGTGGGCGATGGGCTCGCTTCCAAGGGCAGCTTACCGCAATACTGCGGTAAACAGCCCTGGCCGTTTCGCGCCTTGGAGATCGGACCTCGCTAGGCACGCCTGAGGATCGGCAGGGGGAGAGGACTCGATTTTCGGGGAGCACCTGGCCAGCGTGGCAATGTGTTGCCCGCTGATGTGGCACCTCCCCCGATTCGTCTGGCTCATCAGGCACGCTCTCTCCCGCGATCCCTCCCTTTCCTTCGCCTTTCAGAGTCTCTAAGGCTTCTATTTCTCCCCTCCCGCACCCCGCAGCTGCCGCAAATTTAAAATTATGAACCAACCTGTCATCCTTTATGCCTTAGAACGGCGCCAAAACGGCGCCAAGAATGTGTTTCTCACTAAGTCAGATGTAGAGGGCATCATCCGGATCAAGCAGGGCGACCAGCAGGCGCCCTCAGGCCGGCGGCGGCGGGGTGCAGGAGGGGGGGCGGCAGTGCAGGGCGGCACCAAGAACTACAGCAAGAAGGTGCTGCAGTTCTTCCAGGTGCTGAAGGGCGCTGGCGGTCAGGACATCCTGTGCCGCTGCGTCAAGCGCAGCGGAGAGTGGCGGTGGTGCCCCGTGGTGCCGCTCGAGGAGCTGCCCCGAGTGATCAAGGAGCACCACGAGCGGGCGACTGGCTTCAGCGGTGTGGAGAAGCTGTACACACATGTGAGTGATACAAGGGGTGCAATGCTGCCGCCAGACCAACTGGAGAGTGCTCTGCATCAGGCAGCAACCGGATGCATCGCAGCAAGCACGGGGGGTGCGGCACGGCCAAGGTGGCGCTGCCCTCCTCTCCATCTATCCCTCCTT